CAGAAGCAGTTACAGATCTTAGATGGGTTGATGCAATGAAATCAGAAATTGAAGTTCTTGAAAGCAACCACACTAGGGAAATTTTTTCTTGACCAGAAGGAAAAACCCCTATAGGGTGTAAATGGATATACAAAATCAAGTTTAAAGCTACAGGGGAAATAGAAAGATTCAAGGCCAGACTTGTAGCCAAAGGCTACAGTCAAAAGGAAGGTATAGATTATCAAGAAACTTTCTCTCTAGTTGTAAAATGGTGACAGTCAGGACTGTTCAAGCAATTGCAGCCTCCAAAAAATGGCATGTACACCAAATGGATGCACACAATGTATTTATACAAGGTGATCTCCTTGATGAAATTTGTATGGATCTTCCACAAGGATTTAAGAGTCAGGGGAAGTATAAACCAGTATGTGGACTTAAAAAAATTCTTGTATGGACTTAAGCAAGCACCAAGGCAACGGAATGCAAAGCTGACAGAAGCGTTACTAAAGTTCAATTCAACCATAGTCCATTTGATCATTCTTTAACTGTAAAGAAAACTGATAGTGGAACTATTGTAGTGTTGGTCTATGTAGATGATATGCTTCTAGCAGGAGACAATCTAAAACTGGTACAAGATACTAAAGAAGCCCTACAGGAGGCCTTCAAAATGAAGGATCTAGGGGAACTAAAATATTTTCTTGGAATAGAGTTTGCAAGATCAAAACAAGGAATTCTAATGCATCAGAGAAATTATTCCTTGGACCTTATATCAGAACTTGGATAACAACATCTAAACCTATCAATACACCTATGGACACAAGCATAAAACTCACTACAAGAGAGTTTTATGAATATTGCTACAAAGCTAATCTTGCAAAAGATGAGGTACTAGCAGACCAAGGCAGCTATCAAAGACTCATAGGTAAGTTTCTTGCTTAACAGTTACTAGGCTTGATATATCTGCTAGTGTTCAGACACTCAGCCAATACCAACAACAACCAAAAAAATTTCACATGGAAGCTCCATTAAGAATTGTGAGATATATCAAGAGTCAACCAGGACAAGGCATTCTATTATCTAGCAACAACAATGAAATAGTTACAGCTTTTTGTGATGCTGATTGGGCAGCTTGTCCATACACCAGAAAGTAAGTCACAAGGTATTTAATCAAGGTAGGAGATTCACTAGTCTCATGGAAGTCCAAGAAACAAACTACAATCTCTAGAAGTTTAGCTGAAGCAGAATACATGAGCCTAGCATCTACTGTTGCTGAGTTAACATGGTTACTGGGTTAATGGAGGAGATTGATGTAAAAATTGATCAGTCAGTTACCATCTTTTGTGACAGCAAAGCTGCTATTCAAATAGCAGCCAACCCAGTCTATCATGAAAGAATAAACCATATAGAAATAGACTGTCATTTCATAAGAGAAAAGATTCAACAAGGCATGGTCAAAACTAAGTACATTCCTACAATAGAGCAGCCTGCAGAAATGTTTACAAAAGGACTGAATAGAGTACAACATCAATATTTGAGCTCCAAGCTAGGGACATTAAATGTCTTTATGCCCACTAGCTTGAGGGGGATGTTAAAGAAAATGTCACTTAGCTAATAAGGGCAGTTTAGTAATTTCACCATAAGTTGGTTATTTTGTTAATTGTTAGTTATTAAGTTAGGTAAGCAGTTAATTAGTCTGTCTTAGTATAATTTAGCTAACCAGTATAAATACATATGTATACTCAATATCAGATCAAGTTTGATAATAAAGACATATTTTTTTCTCTTCTAACTTCTCTCGATCGATCAGCTCTCATCTCTTCTCTCTTCTTCATTCTCTAAATCTTTGATTCTCATTTTCATCTTATAATTTGAGCATGATAGAAATTGTTCTATTGGAAAATTGACATTTCAAAAGTACTAATCTATTTATAACTTGCAATTACTATGTAATTTTCAAGATATGCAGTATAGTAAGTACTCCGTCTGGTCCACAATAAGCAGCTATTATACCCTTGGCACACCCATTAAGAAAATACGAACTCCTAGAGAAAAAAAAGATGTATTCACTAATTAAATTAACCTCAATTAATTGTTACCTTGACATATTGAAATATATAAATAGGGGTAAATTTTGGAAAAATAAAATTAATTCCTTCTTGATTATGTAAATGAACACTTATGTTGGACCAAAATAAAAAGGTAAAATGGTCATTTATTATGGACCGGAGGGAGTAGCAATTAATGGAGTACGCACTTTTCAAGATATGCATTATTATACATCTAATCTTATATTCCATCAATTTAAATTTATGTAACGTGATTTGACTCGATTTTAAGACAATTTTTTTTTTAAAACTTGTGGTCTTAAACGTATCATGAGATTTTTATGGTTATAAAAGAATGTCATTAATAAAAATATAAAAAGTTTAAAGTTAAATTATTTTTCAATTATAGAAAAGTGTCATTTTCTTAAACAGATTAATAAAAAATATAAAACCACATAAAATGAAAATAAGGGGGGTGTTCAAGTTTCTTTTTTAATTTTAATCTTTAAAAAATAGGGCAATTTACGATCAAATTCTCTCTTACTTTGACTTAATTAGTAACCTTATTTCGACGACTCGCATTATCTATGATCCTTACTTTATTCCAAACCCTACCAGTTTAATTATCTTCTGTAGACTGTAGTAGACCAACACATGACCTATCGACTGTACATTCATCTTTCCTAGTTTGATTTATTAACTACTACTAGTAGATGAAGTGAATATAAATAGGTAAAGGGGATCCTTCGGGAGAATATATAAAGGAAGGAGCAAGGAAGCCTTTTTAGATAACATTTTATTTTTGGTAGTTCCTCCTATTTTTGTCAACAAAGTTTTTTGGACAGACAAATTAGGAATTATTTTGATACAAATAGTTTCGGATGGTACTAGGACTTCCGTAAATGCTCTTTATCTAAAGTTTACGGTAGTAACGTAAGCATTAATATGAAGGGCTTGCCGTAAAGTTAGTCTTCGCAACATTTTGTGCATATACAGAAAGTAAAGTCATATTATTACATCTCATATAGGCATTGTTTTTATTTTCCTTTTTTTAGCATATTGTTGTTAATACATTGTAAATCCTCGTATATAATCTGAGTAAAAGATATAAAGTTGTACGTAATTCAAAAGTATATTAGGTTAACGGTGCTCATAGCTTCAAGGGAAATGATATTAAGCAGGAACAAGTTTAATTCACCAATAATTAGCTTTTTAAATAATCATGGTTTATATGATTAACAAATATCCATGAATTTAATCCAATGAACAAATCACGTAACAATCGTGAGCATCATATGAGAATGTACCTTTGTACGACCCTTGACTTCTATTAAATATTAAATGGTTTAAATTCTTAGATAGTGATAACATTTGTTTAATGAAAAATTGACCTAGAAAGCATATATAATTAGTGAATTATTATGAAACAATCATCCAATATATTAATCTCAATCAGTATGTTGCTCATGAGTCATCAGAGATCCCTTTCTTACGCTTTGGACACATGGTCCATCTAGATGTTCCTCGCGAAAAATAACTATAAAGTACTCATACAAATTGAAATAAACAAAAAATGAAGAATATAACAGCGGCCTGTATTTGTTTGTAAAATAAGGAAATTCAAGTGTTGTATTTTTTTTTCAACAAAAATTGGAAATGATTTCTCTCTATTGACATTTGGTTGAAAAAAAAATTTAATGACATTTTTTCCAGTTTTTGCGAATTACTTCGACTTTTTGTTCGTCCAAGTGTAGCTTAATATAGGCTCTTAGCCTATTTCTTTGGACCTCAAAAACAGAAAACAAAAATAGTTGAGAAACGAACAAATCGATCATTATGTTTTGAATCATTGATATATCTTACCATCAATTAGTATAACGGGGTAGATTAAATCATTTTACTTTTAATAAAAAATCCTGTGTTCGAATTTAAAATTAATTTTTTTTGTCATTTTCCTTAAACTAATAAATTTCGAATACTAAATCATAAAAATATGACCATTTGTTGGTAAAAGATTCCATAAGGGTGGTTAGAGTATCCTTCAATTAATGGGAATTTCACCCATTTCCAATGCACGTGTTGGATTTTCCTTTGGCGAAGAAACCGCCAAGAAATTTCTAAGAAGCCATCCTCCTTCATTTTCATCTAACACCTCTCTGCTTTCATATTATTGCTACTTTGATAATCGTTCATGTTCTATTTGGAACTCAAAAATCCTTTATATATAAATAGGATACGTAGTATTTCTTTCGCCTTATTTTATGTGTACTTGTTTAAAAGATAGTAAGAAGTTTAAAAATAAAGATAAGTTCTTAAAATTTGTGATGTTAAACATACAAGATATTTGTGTGGTTACATAACCATATTATTACGGATATAACTCAGAAAATTTAAAGATAAATTATTTTTTGATAAGACAATAGACTTCGAACTTAACTGAACCTCAAAACTAGCTTAGGGTTAAGAATTGTTCAAGACCATACAAAGATATAAATTATCATCTCATCCCACTGATATGGAATGCTAATAACACATGTTGTACGCTTAGCCCGACAACTAGAGTGTGACAAGATAATATGGTGGACCAACATCGAATGAAATAAAAAGTGATTTAACTTGGCTCTGATACCAAAGACAACAACAATAACTCCTACGCCCCAGTCCCAAACAAAGTTGAGGTCGGCAGAATCCTCACTCTTTTCTTTAAGCTCAACTTATACAATCATTATGATGCCATGATAAACAAAGGAACCTTGTGTTTAACTCAACAATAAAAGCTAGTTCAAAAATTAAAGATTATTTAAAACGATATAAGGTGATAAATTATCATACCACTCACTTATGTCATGTGGGGCTACTAACATTTTTCAATATAAAATATGTCATTATTTTCATACTAATTAAAAAAAGAGTGTTACATACGGAACGGAGGGAGAATTTCTCAAGGTCATTACCTTTAAATACCTAACTACTCTAGATCCTAGATTCGTCGAAAGTAAAAAGAAAAATGAGTAGCTTATCTTATTTTGGAAAGAAGCTGCAACATCTTTGTAGCACAATATTTTTGTATCTGGCTTGTTTGTGTAGATCAACATGCTTCCTCATTTCTTGCCTCCACAAATCCATTCTTCTCAGAGTGAACAAAATTTTCGTACAAATCTTTTACTTCATTTTCATTTCTCTTTTTGGTTTTTGCATTCTCAGAATCTTGAAGCCAAGGAGTGTTGATTTTACACCTAGGAATTTAGATTTATTCTTCACTTCTGTTTCTTCAGTAACTGTCTCAAGCATGTCCACTGTAGAAATGGAAGTCTTTTCCAATTCCCAACTCATTCTTATTACATTTTTAATGTTCATGGGTGGTGAAATCTTCACATCTATGGTTGGGCTTCATTTAATTAGGTCCAAGTTCAAGCCGTGGAGAAAAGATAGCAAAATTGAGTCAGTAATTAGTAGTACTACCACTTCTCCAAGAAACTCAGATTTTAATGATGATATTGAGTTGGACATTGTTGTAATACCTGACTCCCCAAAGCAAAAGTCAGAAAGTGATGAATTACAAGATGATTTTGGATCATCAGATAAACAAACTCTCAAGTACCAATCTATCAAATTCCTAGGGTTTGTAACATTAGTTTATCTTCTAGTCATCAACGTTATTGGTGTCTCATCAGTTCTAGTGTATCTAGCCTGTGTTTCAAGTGCAAAAGATGTACTAAGAAACAAGGGGCTAAAAACCTTCACTTTTGCTATTTTTACAGTTGTCTCAACCTTTGCTAGCTGCGGTTTTGTTCCAACGAACGAAAACATGATAGTATTTAGCAAGAACTCAGGTCTTCTTTTGATTCTAATCCCTCAAGTACTTTTTGGAAACACATTATATCCAGCATGTTTGAGACTTTGTATTAAGTTCTTGGGAAAATTTTCTAGGAAAAGAGAAGCTAAATATTTGTTGAAGCATTCAAGAGAAATAAGACATCTCCACTTGCTTCCTAGCCAACATTCAAGATTATTAGTGGTCACAGTGTTTGGATTCATCTTGATCCAATTGATTATGTTTTGCTCTTTGGAATGGAAATCTTCTTCTCTTAATGGACTAAATAGCTACCAGAAAATAGTCGGATCATTATTTCAAGTTGTGAATGCAAGACACACCGGTGAAACCATTGTTGATATCTCCACAGTTGCCCCAGCCATCTTGGTGGTATTCATAGTAATGATGTAAGTTAATCTTTGCTTGAACTCACAATATACTACTACTATAATTTTTTTTATTAAGTAGTAGGAGATCGCGGATCCATGATTTGGAATTTATGGATTCCTAGGAAACTCTCAAGTCAATGCTACAATAGTTACTGGGTTCGCAACCAAATATTTCTAAATATTTAGTTAATTTCCTAAATGATATATATACAAAATTCAGACAATAGTTATTAGATTCACCGTTCACGTGAACCCGTAACCAATACACACAATATCTGCCCATCAGTAGTAGTACATTTTTATTTGGTTTGACAAGGGATTATGTACTTTAAATGACTCTAAATGGAAAATTATTTGCTTTTTATCTTTTGATACAAAATCTAGAAGGGCAACATTAAAGCTAAAATTTAATAATTATTACTCCCTCCGGTCCAAAATAAGTGATCTTTTGGCCTTTTTCTTGTGGTCCAAAATAAGTGATTTTTCCAGATTTCAAGAATGAATTAATTATTTTTTTCCTACATTGTCCTTGAAGTAAATGGTGTTGGAATATGTGTTAGGAGTGTTTATGTGAGATAGTAAAGGTTAATATGGTCAATTCCATTGCTAATTAATGCTAAAAGGTGAATTTCTTAATTTATGTGAAAACATCCAAAAAATCACTTATTTTGGACCGGAGGGACTAGTAATTTAAAAGTTGCATGGTTTATTGAACACTACTGAGTTAATATTTGTTAGAGAATATAGCAGTCCCGATCATTGGTTGTGTAAAATTTTTCAAAGGGGTTTTCCAATGTCTTGGATCACTAGTGTAAGTTATCAAAATTCTTGTTTTTTAATATATAATATTCACGCCTTTAGTTGGCCTTGTATTTCATCCGAAAAAACAAAGAGATACAAGTTAAACATCAAAATATTTGTTGGGAAAAACATTACATCTATGGAAAAATAAAAAGAGGAAAAAGGCATATAATTTATTCAATTATTTTCAGGTATCTTCCTCCATATACATCATTTATACCAGTTAAAGGTGTTGAAGAGGCCCCTGAAGAGACTTTGGGGGAAAAACAAGGAAGAGGAAAAGTTGCAGAAAATCTCATACTTTCCCAGCTTTCTTATATATTCTTCTTCATTGTTCTAATTTGCATCACAGAAAGGAAACGGATGAAGGATGATCCACTCAACTTTAATGTGTTGAATATCACTCTTGAAGTCGTAAGGTAGTTTACAAATTTTTCTTTCTCAATTTTTTTAATGGGTGTTATCACTTTTAGCATGTGCCAGAAACTATTTACATCCGGTAGATGAAAAAGTTTATAATATTTGTATAATTTTTGTATATAACATACATAATGTATATATATACCAAAATATATACAATTTTATATATTTTTTCGGCTATTATTTTTATAGCGGCTATACAATATCATTTTTTTATTTGTCTATTTTTTATTTATCACTAAAACTGTTGAGTACCACATTGGTAGGGATGTGGATTACCTCTATATATGATCTTGAGTAATACTCATATTTTGAACTAGCTTTTGATGTTGAGTCACGCCGGACGTCCTTTTTTTTTTTAACATGATATCAGAGTTAGACTCATCCTACCATTTTATATTGTCCACGCTTCAAATGTCTACTCTTAGGAGTGCAAGTGAGGTGTTGAGACCACATTAGCGGGAATGTGGATTTTTTTTGTGTGTGTGTATGCATGTGTTATGCATCATATACAGAAAATATACATTTATCAGCTATAATTTTAGGAACGGCTATACTTTATAGATTTCCCTAAATACTACACCTCATCGGTATTATTTAGCGGCGGAATCTATAATGAAAGGTGGCAACCAGATTTTTCCATTCATATTACTTTTAGGGATTACCTTAAATTTCCTATTGACAATAGCCATTTTATCTTGTAGTACTGCTAGGACTATTAGTTAGACTTTCGTCGTTTCCTAATAGAAATGCATGACATAATAATGAAGCATCATTTGATCATAATCAAACACACAATTTTATTAATTCGAGCTGGCTCCTAGTGGTTTCAGTCTCACCCTATCATTACGTAGGTATTTAGGTGTGAGGTTTTAATTCCATGCAGTATGAAGAAAGCCTTCACATGTTCACAGAGTTGCACAATATATTTAGAGAAAAAGGGAAAAAATTGCATATTTCCGTAAACTTTCTTTTTCAGTTTTAAAAACGACAGTTAAGGTTGTGAAATAATTCCTCATTTTAACTTGTCCTTGACGGTTTTTTTTGTTTTTTTGCAGTGCATATGGAAATGTTGGTTTCACAACAGGATATAATTGTGATCGGATGATAAACCAAGATCCAACTTGTAAGAATAAAACGTATGGATTTGTAGGGAAATGGAGTGATGAAGGTAAATTAATTCTCATAATTGTCATGTTTTTCGGAAGATTGAAGAAGTTCAATATGCAAGGTGGAAAAGCATGGAAGCTCTTGTAATTAGCATCCACAGCTTTTCCAAGGACAATTATTTTGAAGTACTACCCACAATTATCATTATTCTGTAAATTTGACCCTTTTGATGAAGGCAAAATAACAAAATGTATATATTGCGGAAATTTGCTTTCGCTCATTTTCTATTTTTGCTCAATTTCTATGTACCTGTGCAGGTTTTTTCCCCCCTTCCTTTTCCAAATAAAAATTTCTTCAATCATGTGTAGCATTTTGCTTTTCATTTTATGTATATACTTCGTTAGAGTTTACGGGTACTCATTTCTAACCCCCTAGGTTGAAAAGGGAAGCCAATATAGCATTGGCCTTCCACAAGATGAATTCTGCAGACTTGATACCTATATGTTATGTTTAGGTGAAAAAGCGAAGACGATATCGTATGCGGGTAAAATCGGGGGTAATGCATACCTCAATTTCCCGGTGAAGAAAACGGAAGAAGGGTATGGACGCACGAGATCGAAGTCGAGGCTGGGAGCCCTTCGTATCTAGAACTATGGAAGGCGATCAATGTGATCATCCTCGGGCATAATAAAGTGACGCTCCCCGGACCCAGAACGAGTTCTAAAACCTCGGGAAGCACGGTAAACGGTTACATACGATGGACAGAGGGTCGTGATATTCGTATCAAATCGGATATCACGACGCTACTAAAAAGTAAATGGATACGGTCGCATGCAATATAATATACCCGCCTATGAATCGGGGTCGAATCCCACAGAGAACAATATGTAGGCGATTAGGAGTGTAAGAGAATTATCACTTATTATGCTAAGCCAAACACTTAGAAAGGTTTTGAGAAAATATTTATAACTAATTGCGAAAATGTAACTAATCTAGAAAGCAAGTAAAATGATCAATGGCCACAAGCATGGTGCATTGGGAATTACACTCAAGTAACGATCCAGTGTATTTCACGATTTTACAAGTATGAGTAAGATTATGTCAACTAGCCTCGGGTAATAATTATTTATTACCTTCTTCCGAAGGCTAACAAGACTTACTAATTGAATTATCCCTAAAACAATTCAGAGATTAAGCACACCCTAATATGGCTACAAGTAGTTCAATCCTATCCCTAGGTAGAATCTATAAAGTGAGGGTTAACGCCTCAAGTTCTTGTAATCTTTTCCAACCCCAAATTAACTTTTCCAAAATTAATTCGAAGTAAATGGACGAGTCTTAGGGTAAGCTAATCCCTTTGGAAATATTAAAGAACAAGAATAATTAAAGAAACAATGACTCACTTCATAATAAATAAAAACCGTTCAATACATAAGCACAACAAGATATTTAATCAACACTTTAAATATGAATATTCCCATAAATAATATTCAAGCATTGACAAAAAATACTACACACGTAGATATACAATACAAAGCAAGAAAATGAAGAAATGAACATAAATGGGTAAGAAAATCTCAACCAAAAGCTTCAAATATTCAAGACTTAAATGTGTGTGCAAGAACTCTAGCTCCAAAAATTGTGTTCTCTTCTCAAGATATGTCAAAAATATTCAGAGACTGGCCAAAGATATTTTACAAATGAGTTAGGCCGTATATTAAAGGGTTTGGGGCCAAAAAATGTGAAATTACAGAAATACCCAGAACTGAAGCGCAAACTTCGCATTTACGAAGCTATGTTCGCATTGGTAACATTTGCGGAACACTTTTATCGTATAAAAGTAAAGTGTTTAACACATAAAGCAAAATTCATAATACGATCCAACCAGCCCAAAACCACGGTGTCACAGAGTACAAGAGCGTAGAGAAAATAGCATAGTCTAAACAATGTTTACTGGATACAACTGAAACACATCTAAAATAGAGAAGGAGGGTCAAGGCCTGCAAACGCCATGGAGATACCTCAACAATCTCCAAAGCCTGCAACCTCGGTCAACGACTGCCACCGGGACCGAAAGTACCTGGATCTGCACACAAGGTGCAGAGGGTAACGCGGGTACACCAACTCAGTAAGTAACAAGTCCAAACTATGGACTGAAAGGTAGCGACGAACCCAGCCCCATCAAGGATAATACAATTAACGTACAGAAACATAGGCATGCTTTCAGTTAAATAGACAGCTCAAAACAGTGAAACAGAGCAGATATGAACATGGTAAAGAAATATAACTCTGCTATATCTACATGCCAATGCACATGCTATATGTAATGCACCATGCTGAGTACCTCATGTGCACACAATCCCAAATGCTCGTCCACTCAGTACTGTATATGGCTCATACGGCCCAGGGAAGATCCATCCAAGAATATATATACATCTCTGACAGCAGTCACTCAGTACTGAGGAAGGGCGATCCAGCCCTATGGAGAAGATCCATCTCCATATAATGATAATAACCTCACAACCACTTGGCACCGTATATGGCTCACATAGCCCAGGGAAGATCCATCTCGGAATATATGAATCACTGGCTATCGGTCTCCAGTACCGAGGAAAAATAGGCCAATCCAGCCTCATGGAGAAGATCCATCCCTGAATATAATCAACCACGCTCACTGGGGGTGTGTTACAGACTCCGGAGGGGATCCTACAGCCAAGCGCTATCATAATCATCAACATAACCGCTGCGGCGTGCAGCCCGATCCCATAACTGTCACTCATAATCAGGCTCTCGGCCTCACTCAGTCATCACTCTCCAGTCTCACACACAGAGGCTCACAATGCCATGAACTAGCCCGAAATAAAGATATGATGTGCCAATAGAATAACAACTGAGACTGAGACATGATATGATATGCATGAATAAGATTGAGTACAAAATATCAAGGAAACAAATGAGATGATAGCAGGAAAAGACCACCAGGGTCTCAACAGTGTCGGCGTGAAGCCCTAACATGATTTACAGCTCATTTACTTAGTTACGTAATAAAAATACAGATATCAGCAAGAAAGAGTCACTACGCAGTGCCATGGAATGAACCAAGCGTCAATCCAAACAGTGCACGTCCACACGCCCGTCACTTGGAGTTCGTGTCACCTCAATATTTATCACATAGCATATAGTTCGGGGTTTCGAACCCTCAGAACCAAGTTTGAAAGCGTTACTTACCACAACCAAGCCAAAATCCTACACCGCGATGCCTTTGCCCCTCAAATCAACCTCCGAATGCTCCGAATCTAGCCATAAATAATTCGATACAATCAACACGAGCAAAAGGAATCAATCCCATAAGAAATGCTAAGCTTTAGGCCAAAAGTCAAAAGGTCAACACAAAAGTCGGGCCCCGGGCCCACGTCTCAAAACCCTACCAAAGTCATAAAATCTGATAACCTATTCGATTACGAGACTAACCATACTGGTTTCACTCAATTCCGAATTCGAATCGGCTTTCAAATCCTAAAAGTTCCTTTTATGAAACTACAAAAATCATTCCCCCAAATTCTATCCCAAATTACAAATCAAATGATGAAATCAATGATAGATTTATGATTATTACCCAAAACCGAGTTAGAATTACTTACTCCAATGATTTCCTTGAAAAACTTCCAAAAATTCGCCTCAAACCGGGCTCCCAAAGTCCAAGATGTTAAATAAAACCCTAAACCTTGCTTATATAGTGTTCTTTGAGTTTCCAGTCAGCGATCCGCGCATTTCTCACCGCGGTCATGCAATCACTATCGCGGTCCACGTAATTCCATCACAGCCGCGAGTTCTGAGCCAACCTTTACCGCGGTCTGCGAGATTCTCACCGCGATCGCAAATCCTGAATCAAGTCCTTCCGCGGCCCGCGAAGTCCCATCACTGCCGCATTCTCCTACCGCGGTCCGTGTAATCTATGTCGCTGCCGCACTTCCAATGATCCTATGGGCGTACCGTATGACTTCAAAATCCAATACCGGGGCAACCCCTTTTCATTGGTCTATGGAGCTGAAGCCTTAATACCGATCAAGGTGGGGGAACCAAGCCTCAGGTTCCAATATGCGACAAAAAATCCAAACAGCGAGGCCATGATCACAAGCCTGAAACTATTGGATGAAAGGCGTAAGGCCACCTTGGTCCGGTTGGCCGCCCAGAAATAGTGAATAGATAGCTATTACAACCGAAGAGCCAACCTCCGACACTTTCAAGTCGGGGACTTGGTATTGAGTAAAGTAACATTACACACCACGAACCCGAACGAGGGGAAGCTGGGACTGAACTGGGAAGGACCATATCGAGTTGTTGGAATAACCAGCGAAGGCTCGTACAAACTCGAAGCAGGAAACGGCGTACAACTACCTAACAACTGTAATGTGGCACACTTAAAGCGGTACTACTACTAAGGTACAAACTCAATTACTCTTTAATCATTTTATAAATTGGACTAACATTTGCAGGCAAATGACCATGGATGGATGTGACTATTAGGTCTGAAAGCACACGTTGCACTCTTTTTCCCTTGAACTGGTTTTATCCCAAATTGAATTTTTCGGCAAGGCTCTTAACGAGGCAACAGTAAAACGTGCTAACTTAGATTCGAAGATTATGCATTTTTTGCTTCTTCCCTTCCGGATCCTATAGCCCACGGTCTATCCCTACTCGGGGACTATCGAGCCCACGGGCTACCCCTACTCGGGGATCAAGGGCTACCCCTACTCGGGGACTGTTGCTTGAAGAAAATTCGGACAACCCGAGCTATCAAATCCTAGAGGCACCCAACCTATTAGGCGGTGCCCAAACAAAAAAAGCTACGGCCACCCTAAAAACGGCTTGGGGATGTCCGAAGCTCGTAATCAGAAAGTAAGGCATTACAAAAACTAGAAACCTGCTAAAAGGTTACCCTCGGCAAAAGCATCATCAAAAAATACTTAAGTATCTTGGAAACTTCTAGTCGCACTGAGGTTTTGAAGCCACGAGAAAACAAAGTTACATCGAAGTCGGGCTCCATGGCTTAGATTGCTAGGTGGCACACTTAGGGGATCAAGTGTGGCCTACAACCACATTGATAAAAGGCCTTCCTACTCCATTTAATTGGGATATGAGACACTTAGTGTCAAGGTTGGAAGCTTAAGTTGTAAAGGTTGACCGGATGTTGACTTATGTGTGAATGGCTCCATAATGGAGTTTTGATGGTTCTGATATCTCAGTTGGGTGATTTGGACTTAGGAGTGTGTTCGGATAGTGATTTCGAGGTCCGTAGTTGATTTAGTCTTGAAATAGCGTAAGTTGGAAAAATAGAAGTTTTGGAAATTGAGAAGTTTG